AGACGGCAGAGACTATCAGTGGCTTCGTGGTACCTCTGTCTAGTCTTGCTGTCGTCATATCTCCATTGCTGAAATTAGAAAGAAGCATTAAATTTAACTCCTTTTTAGCAAGAATACACGTTCTCACCTTCTCTCCATTGGAGGTAGACAAAAGCGTGTATTTGGTGTCGCCCAGTCCAGTCACCTTACCTTTGTACAGGTAAGGTTCCTGGATGAGCGCCACGTCGATGTTTGAGGAAGAAAGGGTGAGAAGCAGTTCAGCAGCTGCTGCTCTACAGTGATGCAGATTAATCTGAATCACGTTAAGCGCTTGCTGCTGCCTCCCTATTGTTTTGGAGTGGTGAGACGGAAACAAAGTTTCCCCATTCCATAAACAAGCTCACCCTTGTTCTTCCTCAAGTACTCCTCTCCCGCAGAGTCAGTTGCGAACTTCGCGACTACACCGCCGTTCCTTTCAAACGAGGCGAGGATTCTCCACCTCCTCGTCTGAAGGCCGTCGTTCTGCTTCTCCAATAACCTCAGTGTCTTCTCCAGCCCCTTGAAAGGTTTTGGGATAAACACCGAGGTTACCATACCGCTCGGTATCTCTCGAACCGCTACGGCTGCCAGACGACCACCCTCCCAAAGGGGGTCCAGGCTGTTGATTGTCTTCTTAAGAAAATCTGAAGTCTTCTTAGTGCGACAATCAACAACCTTTACTCCTTTGTAAGAGGAGGTCAGGCCAAACCGCAGGCTCTCTCGATCAACCTCGTCGGACAGGAAGAGGTCCTTCAGATAGCTGTCGACCAGCTCCCATCTATCCTCACTGATAAACCCGTCAGGGTCAGCTCGGTCGATGATCGCTACCCGCAGATCTTCCGGAACCTCTTTCGGATCAGCAGAGTCGCTTTGCTCAGTTGTAGGTGTCTGGGCTACCTGCTTCGAGACAGCGTGTTTGGTTTTCACCCCACAATCGCTGCTCTTGGCAGGTTTCTCCTTCGACGCTACCACCGAAGCAAAGGAAGCAGAGCTCTGTACGGCCGACGACTGCGTGGGCCTCTTTGCAGCAGGTTGTTGCTCCTCCGAGGACCTCATTCTCTTGACAGCCGTGGGCTGTGGCCGAGATTTGGCACCCGGGGTAGCAGCTACTGCAGAGGTATGCCCCGCAGACGCAGGCACCTGCTTCACGTTCGCTACCTTCTGCTTGTCCACTGGCGACTGCCCAATTGTCACCGCCTTGGCTGTCAGCTTTGGCAATTCGGCAGAAGTTGGATTGACAGAGGGCGGTTGTGCCTTATCGGTCTTCTTGGAGGCCTTTTTACGGGCTCTCTTTCGGGCCGACTTCGACAGTCCCCTGCCTTCTGTCTTTGTGGATTCTGATGTCTGGGACGTCTCAGTACTCAGTTTACCCTTTGGGGGTGCTGAGGGCTTAGACGTCTCAGGCATCAGCTTCCTGGATGTACCGGGGTACTTCGGGGCCATCAGTCTCTCTCAATATCATCAGGTAGAGAACTTCTCCTTCGTGATTCAGTCCAATGTACCGTTTGGGCAGCGATCTCCTTGGCTCCATAAAAAAGTGCTGTATGTGAGGATTTGAGGTCGACCATGGCATAGCCTCTTACCATGGCAAGGACTTGGCAACTAAGTCTGAAACACTTGTTGAGGCGCCCAGGTATCAACAAGGCTCCGTTCTAATACAGTCGGTACCCTGACTGCAAACCGTGGAACGCTGATAGGCACGAGGTCGCATGACACCCCAGCGTTAGGGGGGACACTTTAAGAAGGTAGTGTCCCAAACCTTGAGATGGTTATATGGGAGGGGGCGCCATTCTCGCCTCGTCGACTCAGGGATCATTGGCACTCGGTCATTTCCTCCGAGACTCTCCCCCTGAGCCCGCTGATTGTCCGCGACTGTTTATTGGTTATTAATAGTTACCCAACGAATGGTGTTGGGCTTCCCACTATCCGCAACCTGTGGACGCGTCCGATAGCATTCAGCTTTGCTCCCCGTAGGCGGAAATAACAATCTTACTTGCTAACGAAAGGGCCATTAGGGACCCCGCGATTACATAGATCATGAAGGATCTATTGTACGAAAGGGCCATTAGGGACCCCGCGAAACGATAGAGCCATGAAGGACCCCGCGAAACGAAAGAGTCATTAAGGACCCCGCGAAACGAAAGGGCCATTAGGGACCCCGCGAAAGGAAAGGGCCATTAGGGACCCCGCGATATGTGAGCCAAATTGTGTTATGTTGGTTGAGGGGCGCCTTACAACGATTTTGTACGATTAACGAAAACAATTATTTTATAGGACCAGAATTATCCAGCCGAATTTTGTATTTTGAGCGAGCAGCGATCCAGACGAAACTCGAAAACTATGATTTTGTATGATTTTTGGATACAAGTCTGCTCCTATCAAAATATCTACTGGTCGAGATTCAAAGAATTGAGGATCCGCCAAAACTATATTAGACAAATCCGATTTAAGGTCCGAAGTATCCGAAGAGGTTGGAAGATTTCCCTATATTGAATCTACAACCAATGCTGACGTTTCCAATCTGTGAGACCTATTACGACAACTACCAAATTTTAAGAAACATATTTTTCGACAAGTTGTGGCAACAGTACTATTTACTCCACGAATTGTCGAAATTGTGGGTTTGGCCGGCAATTTCAATTTCTTCTGAAGCCGTTCGGAAATGAAGGACGACTCAGAAGCCGGATCTATTAGCGCTCGAGCAGGAAAACAAGCACCATGGTTAACAATATTGACCATGGCTGTTCCCAATAGAACTGCTTTGTTCTGCGCAGCGTGAAATTTCTGTTGAATAGTGACCGGCGATGTAGGTGGACCAATCACAGTGGGTAAGGACGAACAGTTTCTATTAATATTCAAACTTCGGGGTCAAAATGATGGAGCCGAAGATGACAAATTGGAATTTGTGGGAGTCACCATCTGACTCGGACTGCTCACAATAGAACTATCTCTGTGCAATATAGTGTGATGCATCTGATTGCACTTTCGACAATAACGACTATTACAATTTTTGACTTCGTGTCCCCTACGAAGACAATTTACACACAAATGATGCCTCTTGACCAATTTAAATCTATCGGCAGGTGTACAATTTAAAAACCGATAGCAATAATATAGTGTATGTTGCTCTGAACAAAGAACGCAACATGAATCAGGCGCCGAACTAGGATTGGAAGCTATGCATTTACGAGATATGGAACTCTTTCTATTATTTGAGTTTGACACAGTATTACCATTTCTCATCTCATGCAAACACAGAAGAGTACGAATTCTCTCTGTCAAGAATGCATCTAACTCTTTCCAAGATGAAAGAGACGATTTGGATTCAACACTTTGCTCCCATAAAGCGTGTGTCAATTTGGGCAATTTTTGCAAACATAGAAATACCACAATCGGATCCCAATTTTCCGTTGGTATATCATAAATTGCCATTGCGGATAGACAACTATTAATTCGGCGTTGAAGTGACTTAAGTCCTGAACTATTTTCCTGATCCAGCACAGGAAGTGCAAATAAATGGATATGGACAATCAAACGTGGATTATTATTAGTGGAATTCAGTGCATTCCACGGAGGTTCAAAACTCCGATGAGTCAAAGGAAATTTCGAGACGATTTCTCGAGCCTCACCACTAGTTTTACTCACCAGATGACATAAACGCTCAATTTCTGTCAATCGGGAGTTATTAATATAAACCGCACTAAATAAACCTCTGAAAGTGGGCCAATGAAGTATATTTCCACTGAAAATATCAATACTGCAAGGAGGAATCGCAAGGTTATGGAAGTTATCTGCGTTTAGAGGATCTACGAAAAAGCTTTGGCCTATTCTAGAATTCCCAATATTCAATATTGTGGAGCTAGATGCCTGTGTTCCCACATCACGAGAAGAGTGGGACGAGCTCACGTTTTTAACGGTGGCATCTTCCGAAAGGTTTTCCGAAGAAATTTTGTCGGGATTTTCCGTTAACGATTCTACCGAACTCCTATGAGAAGAGTTAAGAGGCAATTTATTCAAACTCCTTAACTTAGATAACATTTGTTTGAGGATTGCCTATTTTGACAACCCCGGAATTTGTCCAACATGTAATTAGGCAAACTCCTCACTCAAGGGTTCGGCTTGAGTATGTTAATTTACTTACTCCGTGGTGTTGTTCCAAAGGGCACTCACAACTTATGTCCGTCCACGGTCCCAAGGTAATCTCTCCTCTCGAGGCAGCAATAATTTCTAGTCGTTGTCCAAAGAATCAACAATCTTCCTCAGGGTAAGCGTTTGAATGTGTCTCCAACAACAGGGAAATTAATTTGGTTTCAGGTTTCCTCTGATCGTTGGCCTTTTATCAATTTTATTCTTCCACAAATTGCCTCAATGAGTAAGGCAGTACAAATTTCCAATATAATTGTTTCAGGAAAAAGGTTCACAAATTGCTCACGAGCAATATTAATGTTTATTTTATGTGTTTAAATATTATTTATTTAATTATTTGCACTTGCAATTATTCTACTCAACAAGTGTGTTGGGTAAATCTAACTTTATATTTTGCCTTCTTTCCCGTCTCCAATGCTTTTAATAAAACAACGTCTTTATTCTTCAATAGTTTCAAAAGGTAATGTTTTATTGTTTCTAATATTCTGGTATACCAACCAGGATAGCGGGACAATATTTTTTTTGCAATAAACAGCAGCAGAACGATCGACAGAGGCAGAAAAAAGAAACAGCGATAATATGTAAATAAATGTATGTACGTATGTACATACATTCCTCTGTTTGATCGTTCGACTGTTGTTGCGTGTAAACAACAATATGCGTTATTCTCTTTGTGCGGCGAATTCACGTACATCACACAAAGAGGAATAACAAAGAGGGACAAATGAATATAATTACAAAAATTTAAATAATTTTAAAATCAAAAATGTAACAACATTTTAAACGAAATTAAATGACTGTTTGAGTCAAAAAATTAATAAATAAATTTAATGAAATTAAAGTGATTTAACATGCCGGGCCCCATTGAAACCTCCGGTTTCAATCAAATTTTCTTCTTGGGGTAAAACAGCTAATTTTGCGATTGGGCGTCGAAATGTTGAATGTGGTGTTTTCACGTCAGCTACCCGAGCATGGCCATCTGCCCCAGGGACAATATTTATGACACGGCCGAGAACCCATTTCATCGGTGAAACGTTGTCTTCATGTATTATCACCAAATCATTGACCTTCAAATTTTGTTGTGGTTTTTTCCAACGATAGCGATTTTGGAGATGAGCAAGATATTCATTGTGCCATCTGCGCCAAAAATTAGATTTTATTCCGGAGATTCTCTGCCGGTGTTGCAAATGAGATATCTCCGAGTCAAAGTTTGTCTTCTCTGGAACACTTTGTAGAGGGCAAGCGATTAAGAAATGTCCTGGAGTAAGAGCCTCCAAATCGTTGGGATCAGTTGATAATGAGCCAATGGGACGTGAATTTAAGATCGCCTCAATTTCCACCAGGGCTGTGGATAATTCTTCAAATGTAAGGCGAGCATTATGGAGGGTTCGAAACAAGTGACCTTTTGTTGATTTTAGGGCCGCTTCCCATAATCCGCCAGAATGAGGAGCTCTGGGAGGAATAAATGAAAATTCAATGAATTTTGTTGAGGCAAAATCAGCAATGGCTGCCATATTGGATTTTTGATGGAAATGATGGTGGAATTCATTTAGCTTCTTTTCAGTGCCAACAAAGTTTGTGGCATTGTCGCAATATATTTTTGAAGGAATGCCTCTGCGACCAATAAACAGCTTTAGTGCTGCTATAAAGGCTTCACTGGACAAGTCTGAGACTGCTTCAAGGTGGACGGCCTTAGTAGCGAAGGACACAAATACTGCGATGTATGATTTATATGGAGCTTTTCCACGGATCCTGAGGTATGTGGGTATAGGGCCAGCGAAATCGACTCCAACTATTTCAAATGGACGAGAACCAGTTACTCGATCCTTGGGTAAGTTACCCATTACTTGAGTCAGCAATTTTGGTTTGTACCTTGTGCAATGTATGCAGTGATGAACCACTTGTCTTGCCAAAGATCGGCAATTGATAATCCAAAATTGTTGTTGAGTCAGAGATACCAATGCTCTTGGGCCAGCATGGTAATTTGTGCGATGTATATGAATTATCATATTTTTAACAAAATGGTCATTCTTTGGTAGGAGCAAGGGAAATTTGGCATCTGTAGTCAAATTTGAATTTAACAACCGACCACATACACGGATTAACAGAACTCCAACAACTTCTTCTATAAACGGAGCCAAAGATGACAACTGACCATAAACAGAGCCATGTTTTGAGAGTTCCATAAATTCCTCTGAGAAATAGTGCTGTTGAATTAGCCATACAATTCTGTGAAGAGAATGTTTTAATTCATCTGGAGTTATTGTGACTTCTTTCGGAATTTTCCTTGAACGAAAACGAAAAATGTATGAGAAAACTCTGAGACATTTTAAATAACTACTGAATTTATGGACAATATTTAACATATCGGGCAATCCTTCTATTTTTGCTGCCAAAGTGGTTTTGCGTTTCTCCAATTGCAATTCACACTCGCTTAGATTTGAACCGGAACGATTTGGCCAATCGGAAAATGGGCTCGTGAGAAAGGAAGGCCCCTGGAACCAAGCTGAATTCAACAAATCGTCCACAGAGCAACCTCGAGATACTAAATCGGCTGGATTCTGGTCCGTTGGGACATTATTCCAAGAGACATCATTGCAAATTTCTTGTATTTGTGCTACTCGGTTTCCCACGAATGTTGACAAAGTTGATGAATGCGAATTTATCCAATGAAGGGTAATTTGAGAATCGGACCAGAAATAGATTTTTGAAATAGGAAATTGAAAATGCGTTTTCAATTGGCTCCAGAACGTAGCGAGTAAATGGGCAGCACATAATTCCAGACGAGGCAGAGTTCTTGTTTTTAAAGGTGCAACTCTGGATTTCGATGCAATCAAATTTACAGATATGTTGCCGAATGAATCTTCGCACCGGATGTACAGGCAACAACCATATGCTTTCATAGAGGCATCTCCAAACCCATGAAGATGGGTATTGATAGGATTCGGTATTCGAATGTATCGAGGAATTTTCACATGTGACAAATTATGATAATCCGTCATAATATTATTCCAAGCCGAGTCAATATCTTGGGGAACTGATTCATCCCAATCACATTTTATAATCCAAAGGTATTGGAGTAAGATTTTGGCCTTTAATATGAGAGGGCTTATTAAACCCATTGGGTCAAAGAGGGTTGACGTCAGAGACAGAATATTCCTTTTAGTATTATGTGAATACGTTTTTGATGGCCGAAACTCAAAGTGGAACGTGTCATCATTTGAGTGCCATGTCATTCCCAACGTGCTAGTGACGTCATCATCCAATTTCATTTCTTTGACTCCAACGTCAATTGAAGTCAATTCTGGGCAATTGCTATGTCACTTCGAGAGTGAGAATTTAGAGTAAGATAAAATTTCTGATACCTCCTTCCTGATGCGTTGTAAAGAGGCAAGATCGTCAGCACCAGTCACCATATCATCGACATAAAAATCATTTGTGACCACAGACTTCCCTATGTCGTAAGGTTCGGGGAAACGTTCTGCAGCATAATTCAATGCTCTGATGGCCAAATATGGTGCTGAGGCAGTTCCGTATGTAACGGTATTAAGAGCAAAAGTTTTTACCGGTTGTGTAGAGTCATGTCTCCAAAGAATCAACTGGAGTTTCCTATCCTCAGGGTGGGTCAAAATCTGCCGATACATTTTGACAATATCAGGTGTCAATCCATAGCGATGACATCTGAAACGAAGCAGGGTGATTAATAAATTGTTTAGGATTGTTGGACCCACCATCATGATTTCGTTTAGGGACAACTGTGAGGATGTACGACATGATGCGTCGAAAACAACACGTAATCATTTTTTAAGTCTGGATTTTTGTTTAATTTTCTCTCCATGGAAAAGAAGCGTCGAAGGGCAATATCACGGGAATCGCCAAGACAATTTGGATTACGTTTTAGGGGCAGCTTCACCATAATACGTCCATCATTTTGAACTGAGACATTTTTCAGAAAATGCTGCTCGCAATTTTGCTGCTCCAGAGACAATTTCTGACGCTTATTTTCCACCGTATCAATTTTCCAAAGCATTTCCATATTCTTATTAAGTTCTTGGAAAATATTCTCACTTTGCACAATAGAGTAAGTTGATTGTTGTGTATTTAATTTATTGCTGCTATACTTCCCTGAGACAATCCAACCAAAAAGTGTTTTTTGTAATGTAGGTAAGTTATTTCCAAGTTTTATTTGACCAACGGACAAGAGTTGAAAGAAAGATTCTGCTCCAAGTAGCATATCAATACCTCGACGGCGATGAAACTCTGGATCGGCCAGTTCTATGTTAGACGGCAAATTAAAATCTTTAATTGAAATGTTTTCATCGGGGTGATAGCCAGTAATATTTCGTGAGACAAGAAACTCCAATGATAAATTAAAGTTATTTAGGCGAGATCGAATAGTGGTTTGTGTTTTGTAGGAGACCTTTAATTTTGAAGAACCAACTCCTGAGACATCAGTATGATTTGGACATTTCTTTAAGTTGAGAATGCCACAGAGGCCTTCGCTTATAAAATTCACCTGGGAACATGAGTCAAGTAGAGCTCGTCCAAGTTGAAAATTTCCCTCAGAGTCACGAACCAATACCAATGCTGTGGCTAGGATTACATTACTCACTTGAGGGCTAGGTTTGTTTTGAAAAGTACCATGTGTGGCAGCAGAGGAAGGTAACGGTTATTCTTCTTGAGAGCAAGATGGCTGTTCAATTTGCTTATGTAGAAGCGAATGATGATGTTGTTTACAAAATCTGCATGAATATTTAGAAGGGCATTGTATGTAACCATGCCCTTTTGCTAAACAGTTGAGACAAAGTTTGTTTTGTTTAGCTTGATCAATACGTTGATTGGGAGTCAAAACGATGAAGCGTTGATAAGTTGTTATCATATGGCCCGATTTCGAGCAATGAGTGCAAACGAATCTTGAGGCACATTTTTTGTTATAAACGAATGTTGTTTTTGATTACTATGTGAGTAATTTGTTGTATTAGGGATAAATTGTTTTGCTGATCTTCGGCACTGAGCATCCAATTGTTGACAACGCTTGTCCAACATGGAACAACACTCAGCCCAAGAGGGCAATTTTGAATAATCTATGAATTCATCCCATCGTTGTTTTGTCTCCGAATCAACCTTGCTCATAGCCAAATGAATTATGAATGCATCAGAAATTTTTTCATATGAGCCAAGGGATTTTAATGAACTATACAGGGCTGAAATTGTATCCACAATATTCCTCAACTGCTTCGGGACAGGTTTATACGATTTCGGAAGGTCAAACATCGTTGTGACATTTTCGAGAAAAATCAAAGTGTCATTGTCGTACCTCTCTTTTAATCTCCTAAGAGCACTCGGATAATTCTCATCTGTGACTTGGAATGCCTTTATTGTGGCAAGAGCTTCTCCGCTGAGACATGAGAGTAAATGGTTAAATTTTTCCGAAGTGGATATATTTTGGTCATTATGAACCAAATTATTAAATGTATTAATAAAATTGTTGTATTCCAAATACTTCCCATCAAATTTGGGTAATTTGAGGCTTGGTAGTCTGCTCGATGGCGCTTGAGGCAAAACAAAAGACTGATCACCAATGTTTGGACGTCTACCTTGTCCGATGAGGGTAAGAATTAGAGATTTGATGGTGACATAAAGCTCGTCTATTTCAGCTCTACCAGTGTCTTGAGGGGACAATCGTTCAATTTGATTTTGGTAGTATGAAGCTTGTTTATAGTATGACTCTATAATTCCTAACCTGCATTCCAATTCTGTTTGAGACAGAGAAGGATTGGATTCAATTATATTCTTGATCCGAGTCATACTACCGTTTGATGAGCCACGCTGTTGTTTCAGCTCCTCAATAGTTGTTTCCCTTTGGGACACTTGAGCTGGTTCATTCATCATTTTGATTATAGGTTCCAATAAAATTTGGGTTTATATAAAGGTTTCCAACAAGTGTTATGTTGCGTAACAAATGCAACCGAGTATTTTTTTAATTCCAAAGAATATGAGTAAGATAGATGTGGAGAATGTTGTCTCACTCTAATCTTTATTTTCAGCAATGTCGCTAATTGCTTACAAAAGTGACGCCAATTTCTTCTTTAAAATGTCAAAAATATGGCCGACGGAGAAAGCAGGCAAAAAGGAACCAAATGCACTTGGTTATGCAACAACACAAATTTTTGGAGGTTAGGAGGACGCTTCACAAGTGCCCTGTCACGGTCGCCAATGTTTGAGGATTGCCTATTTTGACAACCCCGGAATTTGTCCAATATGTAATTAGGCAAACTCCTCACTCAAGGGTTCGGCTTGAGTATGTTAATTTACTTACTCCGTGGTGTTGTTCCAAAGGGCACTCACAACTTATGTCCGTCCACGGTCCCAAGGTAATCTCTCCTCTCGAGGCAGCAATAATTTCTAGTCGTTGACCAAAGAATCAACAATCTTCCTCAGGGTAAGCGTTTGAATGTGTCTCCAACAACAGGGAAATTAATTTGGTTTCAGGTTTCCTCTGATCGTTGGCCTT